TTTCCTGAAAGAAATTATCCTAAGCCAACAGTTTTTAAGCGCTTATTACACCAATTTGAGGAAACTGGGAGTGTCAATTATAAAAAATCCATTACAAGGAAATCTGTCACTGAAGATGAAGAAAATGTTTTCGCGGTCTATATCTATATATCTAATATCCAAAAGTACTAACATTAGTCAATCAAGTATTTCCAGAATTATCAAAAAGCACAACTTTTATCCTTATAAAATTCAGCTTTGCCAAGAACTTGATGGAAATGATTTTGAAAACCAAACTGAGTTTTGCATGTGGGTGTTAGATAAAGTGGCAGAAAATGAAAAGTTTTTCGAAAATGTGTTATTTAGTGATGAATGTACTTTTCATAACAATGGTCTCATAAATATACACAATTTTCATTATTATTCTGATACGAATCCGCGCGCATACAGGGTCATGAAAAATCAAAATAGGTGGTCAGTTAATGTGTGGGTTGGACCCTATTTTTTTAAGGACATTTAAATGGTTTGATGAATCAACATGTGGCTTCAATTGGATGGAGCTCCGCCTCATTATCACTGCGAAGTTCGGCAATTTTTAAATGGCAACTTTCAAAACAGGTGGATTGGCAGAAATGGGTTTGAAAATTGGTCTCCCAGATCTCCGGGCTGAACTCCACTAGATTTCTTTTTGTGGGGGTACATAAAAGGAATTGTCTGCCATATGCTTCCGACAACTTCACACGATTTGAAAACACGCATAAGAGACGCTTTTAAAACTGTAACTCCGCAAATTTTGTCCAGAGTTAGCAGTTGTTTTGAAAAAAGAATTTGCAAGTGCCTGGAAATTGACGGTCAACATTTCGAACATTTGTTATAAATAATTTGCCTTTGTTTTATGTTATTGTTGATACGTTATTTAACCTTTTAATAAAAAAACACCAAATGGTGCACAGAACCATTATTTGGTGTATTTTGTAAAAAGGCAAAAACTTAGTTATAAACATCCTAGTGCCATTCGATAGGTAATTAAAAACTGCATTTCCTGGTAAGCTAAAAAATATGGCGTTGTTTTTAAATTAGTCAAGTTAGAGCCACTTAAAGTTCTTATTTGATTAGTTTAAATTTGTGGACACCCTGTATAAAATGGTAAGTTTATTGTCATTGGGATATAAAAGATGATTTCTTGTTACACCACTACCAATTACGTTTACATAACTTAAATAATTCTAAAGTATTTGACACATGAAAATAATRTTAGATTTTGATAAAATTCGAATTATTTAAAAAMCCYTTAGATTTAGACATTATAAATCTTAGTAAAACAAACSCTTATTTTGCTCAGAGAATCCAAAAATGCAATAATATATAGGGCATTTCATTTAGAAACACACCACTTTGATACTTTTAGGGCTTTTGGGACAGTCTGTACATTACAAAAATATTTTAAAAATGTGCACCCGATAGGCGTCTGTGGATTCATCAAATAATTCTTTGCAAAAAACAAACGTCCGTGCCGTATAGCGTGAATAACCCTGTATGGTCAACATCAGATTACCCGACTTTATCTACCAGCCAAAGCACTAAGCGTTTGCCTTCCTGCACATAACAAAAAAGCTCCCAAATTCCTTAATTTCCTGTTGCGCTTTAAGTCCTCCGGAGAATTCCTATGCTGGTACACCCCAGTGGGCCAAGTGCTTTTCAACTTGGCCAGCTCATTGGCGCTTTTGGTGATCGCCCTGGACCGCTACCACAATGTGATATACGCGCTGGACAAAAAATGGGACCCCAAGTTGTGGATCTGCATTCTAGGCGCTCTTGTGCTGTGGGGCCTCTGCTTCGGCAAGTTTTGCTGCGCCAATCCGGCCAGCTCTTCATTAACCCCACTGTTCTCTCTAGCTGTTTCCTATCCGATGATCAACTTCTACTTCTACGTGCCTCTAAGGCTGCCGAGCGGCGAAGACGTGAACATGTGCACGGGAACCAGCACCAGCAGGAACGGCATTGCCTATTATTACGTGATAATCGACGTGCTGATCTTCGGGCCACTAGTTTCCATGTTCTTCTGGTTCTACTACAAGATCGCCATTCTAATTTGGCGACACCGCAAGCCGCTGTCTTTACGCACCGACACTAAGATTGAGGAGTTCGAAAACACCTCTTATACCAAAGGCTCATCGGAAACTTCCGGCGGCTCCAACGTAAAATCGCAAATAATCAAGAAAAAACGCAACGTGCAAATGGAAAGGAAAATACGCACCTTCAAGATCGTCATTGTGCTGATTGTGGCCTTCATCTTGTGCAGAATGCCCTACTGGGTGTTCTGGCTTTTAAAGCTGCTAACCAGCATCAGAAGCGGCGACGCGGTCTGGCGCACCATCTTCATCATGACTTCCTTAAACCTACTCAACTGTGCTTTGAACCCATTTCTGTACACCTACTTGAACCAGACCATCTACGTGTGTCGCAAAATCAACGACTTTTTTTGGTCCACCTGTTGCTGCTGCTTCTCCAATGCGGAGTTCGACGACTACGAAAGGGGAACTCCAATTTATGAGGGGGTGTTGGGCCAAGTTGCCACCACCGATCAGTGGAAAACTCCAAGAAACCGACCAGAAGTCAACCCCGGCTATGAAAAGTTCCCTCAAGTGCCTCATTTTCCGAAATATACTTCAGTTAATCGGTATTAGGACTTTGCACAGTTCTGATCCTACTATTTTATCACTATCCAGACTAATAAACTGATAAAAACACAAGTTTTTCATTCTTAATAGACAGTCTCAACTGTCACTTGACAACCAGTAAATTGACGTTTTGCAGCACCACCATTGGAAGTTGAAAGTGACAAGTAGACACTAGAAAGTAGGGGTAAAAAAAATGTCCCAAAAATCGCTCGCTTTCGGTCTTTTTCTTTGCTATGTTTGTTGAATTATCCCAAAGCTTATGTTGTTATATTTATAGCATGTAATGCCAAAATAATGATTTTGTTTCCTTATCTAATCCATTGAGGAAAATCCACACATGGTGTTGCCGAATTGGGACTTAATAATTAACGGCAACGCTGCTTGCTGCAAGCGTTAACCTTACCGATCGATGCTTTATTTTAACCTTTGAATATAAAACTAACTAAAATTTTTGAATTTTGAAAATCTATTTACCAACTTCATGAGACACTTGTAGGCAGTTCTCCATTATTTATATCCTCCGGAACAAATGAATGAAGATTGAGAAGCGAGGGAGGCGCTAATGGACAGGTAAGACTTTTCTCCATTAATGGAGACATTTTCATTGTTGTAACTTGTATGGGCCAATTGCGACGAATTTTTGAAAATCATCTTGCCAACTGCATGAGACACTTGTAGGCCCTTCTTCATTATTTAACTCCTCCGCCACGAATAATGATTGAGAAGTGAGTGAGGCCTTAATGGAAAGATAAGACTTTTCTCCATTAACGGAGAAATTTTCGTTGTTGTAACTTGTTTGGGCGAATTGTAGAGAATTTTCGAAAATCTGCGTGCCAACTGCAAACGACACTTACAGGTCTTTCTTCATTATTTAATTCCTCCGGAACAAATGAAGATTGAAAGGTGGGTGCCGCGCTAATCGAGAGAGGAAACTGTCCTCCATTCATGGAGAAATTGCCATTGTTGTAGCTTGTTTGGGCAAATTGTGGCAAATTTTTGAAAATCTGCTCAAAAAAATATGAGACATTTGTAGGCCTTTCTGCATTATTTAATTCCTCTGGAACCCAAGACTGGGAATTGAGTGAACAGCAAATGGAAAAAGAAGACTTTTCTCCATTAATTGTGCTATTTTGATTGCTCTACCAATTTTAGGCCAATTTTGACGAATAAACAAAGCTTCCCAACTGTAAGAATAACTTGTAGGCCTTCGAATATTTAATTTCTTCGAAACCAACAAAGCTACAGAAACAGTTGAAACAGCAATAAAAAAACCGAGCTTTTCTTCACACGTGCTACCATTTTCATTGCGCCACCTCTTTTTGGTAAAGAATGGCAAATTTTTTAAAAATTGCTGTCCTTTGCTGTTTAGCAAAATACACTTGTAGTCCATTTTCATTAAATAATTCGTCCCAAACTAAACGCGATGGGAAAACGGTTCAGATGCATTTAAAAAGCTAAGACTGTTCTTAATAAATCCTTCCACTTTCCCTGCTGTAGCCGTTTGAGGCGAATTATGGCAATTTTTTGAATAGTTGGTTGCAAACATCAAAATACACTTGTAGTTCTTTTTGTCAACAACTAACTACTCCCAAACTATAAGAGCTAGAAAATTGCCTAAATCAGCATTGGAACCCCAAGGGTTCCCTTCATAATCCTGGTTATTTTTGTTGCACTCGCACTTTCAGGCGAATTATGGCAATTTTTGCAAAACCGTTTGCAAAGAGCAAAATACACTTGTAGGCGTTTCGCTACAAATTAATTACTCTTCAACCAAARGAGGCAAGAAAGTGGCGAAAACGGTGTCGGAAAGAGCAGATCTTGCTTCATACGTAGTGCAATTTCCACTGCACTCGCCCTTTCAGGCGAATTATGGCAAAATTTTGCCAAACCGGTTGCAAAGAGCAAAATACACTTGTAGGCTTTTTGCTACAAATTAGTTACTCTTCAACAAAAAGAGGCAAGAAAGTGGCAAAAACGGTGTCGTAAAGAGCAGATCTTGCTTCATACATCGTGCAATTTCCACTACACTCGCCCTTCCAGGCGAATTTTGACAAATTTTTGCAAAACCGTTTGCAAAGAGCAAAATACACATGTAGGCCTTTTTTGCGAATTAATTACTCTTCAACCAAAGGAGGTAAGAAAGTGGCAAAAACGGTGTCGGGAAGAGCAGATCTTGCTTCATCCATTGTGCAATTTTCATTGCACTCGCCTTTTCAGGCAAATTTTGGAAAATTTTTGCAAAACCGGTTGCAAAAAGCAAAAGACACTTGTAGGCTTTTTTTGCGAATTAATTACTCTTCAACCAAAGGAGGTAAGAAAGTGGCGGAAACGGTGTCGGAAAGAGCAGATCTTGCTTTATACATCGTGTAATTTTCACTGCACTCGCACTCGAAGTGCATTGGTTAGTTTTATATTCAAAGATTTTAACGATTGACCACAGATTACAGACCATTACATTAACTTCTGTGATCTGTGATTCATAGCATTACTTTTAAATTGAAAGAGGTGTACAGTGCCTCTAACCTCAAATTAATGTTATTGTTTAGTGCCCTTCAAGACATTCGTATTATTTAGTTTAATTTTGGTTGTTTGTTTGATAGTTATCGCCAGTAATTACCTAATTCCCATTACAAACGCGAAATCGACCAGATCAGAACATACCCACGTTTGTAATGTATTTGCGATAAGGCAGAGCGCGAGTTTTGGGGGAGGTTTCAAGCCATTTGGCACTTAAACCGTAATGCAGGATAGCATTAATTCCACATATTCGCAGGATGTCGGTGAAAATGAGGCTTACATCAGGCCCAAAAGGTTCAGGGTAAGTTTCTGTCCCCATTGTTTCAAACCGTTATCACTAGTGAATCATTTGACCTTTTGAGCATATACTATCTATTATCCGATTGCGAATTTCAATCTAAACTAGTCTAGTATTTGCTAGAACGTCCCCTCAGCGAGTAACATGGATGATCCAGAGGATACAGACGCAATCCTGACCCAGCAATGGAGCAGCGAAAACCTGAATCTGTTGCAATCAGTAAGAAGACGGGTGGAAATCAGCAAGGAAAAAATTAACGTTGGCTCTTTAAACGTTTTATCTGCCAAATATGAGGTGGGGCTTGCTACAGCTAATCCAAGGCGATTCTCAGTGTCAATTGATTCTAGAGCTTGGACTATGATACATGCGAGAACTATCTGTTGCTCGACGAAGAAAGAAAGAAAGGCTTCAAATTCCTGGTGCAAAAGAACATCGCGCGTTGGTTCGTTTTCCTGCTAATCGGCATGTTCACTGCCTTAGTGGCTTGCATTATAGATATTTCCATTGAGGAACTGAGCGAAATCAAGTACGCAAAACTCAGCAAATGTAAGTCCTAAGTATGTTTCAGCCTGTATCACTGCTTCCTGTAATTATCACTCCAGACGTAGATAACTATGTCATCCAAGGGGCTCTCTATATTCCGTATTTCTACTGGTTACTGTTCAATATAATCCCAGTTCTGATTGGATCAGTCCTGGTGGCGTACGTAGAACCAATCGCTGCAGGCAGCGGAATACCCCAAGTCAAGTGCTACTTGAACGGAGTGAACATCCCCAGAGTGGTCCGCATTAAAACTCTCTTTGTGAAGAGCATCGGAGTAATTTGCTCCGTTGTTGGAGGCCTGGCTGGAGGAAAGGTCCGTATTTGGATGCGCAACGGCATTGCTTGATTTAGTTTTTCATCTGCAGGAAGGCCCGATGATTCACAGTGGCGCTGTGATAGCTGCTGGTATTTCGCAAGGAAAAAGCACGACGCTGAATCGGGATTTTGGGATTTTCAAGTATTTTCGTGAAGATCACGAGAAAAGAGACTTTGTCTCTGGAGGAGCAGCTGCTGGGGTTGCCGCAGCCTTCGGAGCTCCAGTCGGCGGTGTTCTATTTTCACTGGAAGAAGGCACCAGCTTTTGGAACCAAAGTCTCACATGGAAAACGTTCTTTGCATCTATCGTGTCCACGTTCACCCTCAACGTAGTGCTCTCTGCTTATCACGGGGCCCCCGGCAACCTGTCCTTTCCCGGGCTGTTCAATTTGGGCGAGTTCGAGTCGTTCACTTACCAGATGTTCGAAATTCCCTTCTTCATTATCATGGGCGCCTTTGGGGGTTTGCTGGGCGCCCTTTGGAATCACATCAATTATAAAATCACGGTATTCCGAATGCGGTGAGCGAGCACCCAGAGTAGAAGTAGAAATAGATGGTTTGTTAACCAATTTTCTTGCAGGTATGTTCGACAACCTGGGCTTAAAGTGATTGAGGCGTGCGTGGTTGCAGCAGTAACAGCAACCGCGGGTATTCTGATGATGTTCCTGATTAATGACTGCCGGCCTCGGGGACAAGATCCCACCAAATATCCCACGCAGGTGAGACTGCTGTTGCAGACAAGCTAGCAAAGTGAATGAGACTAAAACTTGGTTTTTTCTAACTCTTTTCTTTTAAGTCTGGGACAGTTTCAGTAACGCGATCAATCTCCTGAATCTTGCTGATTTGGAATTGTTTTATTAACGCCAAAGCATCGTTCTCACCTTGGAGCTTCCACACAACCCTTTGAGTGTCTGTTACTTCATGGTTTACGGCTTCCACGTTTCGTTGAGTTGAAAATTGCTTCAGTTCTTCTATCTTTTCGCGAATGGACTGGTTGAACGATACCTGAAATATTTAATTTTTCATTTGGTTGAAAACTCCATCCCCACAGCCTCCAGTTACTTTGTTCTTCTTCAGCTGTTCTTCGTCCTTCAGCACGTTGTCAAGCTTGGACCATAGCCACTGGTCAATTTCCTGCAGCTGCTTTGTTAGCATGGTTACATCGGTTCTCGACTGGAACAGCAGCTCCTTTGTAACCTTAATTTTGTGCTCATGATCGCGCACGTTTTCCAGGCTGGTAGCAATTTCCCCTACGAGTTTCAGTATACGATCGCGATGGATTATGGTCTCTTTCAACCGCTGCTCATCCAGCTGTTCTTCATTTTGAATAGCAATTAGCTTTTCCATGGGTATTTTGGCTTGCAACTTACAGCAAACGTCAACTACGTCAACTGTCTTAAGTCAAATGCCAAGTTGTCTTGATTTTTTATTTGTTCACTCAATTAACATGTATTATTCCAGTTATACTGCACAGACGGACAGTACAATGTTCTAGCCTCCATCTGGTTCCAAACGCCTGAGGCTTCGGTTAGGTCACTGTTCCATGATCCGCCCAATACGCACAATGCCTTCTCATTGGCTGCTTTTGTGGTAGTTTACTTTGTTCTCGCCGCCTGGACCTTTGGATTGGCTTCTTCCAATGGATTGTTCATCCCCACCTTGCTGACCGGAGCTGCGTGGGGTCGCATGGTTTCCATTGGGTTGTGCTACATTTTTCCAGACGCCGTGAGTTCAAACACTTTTTTAGAAACTCGCAGTTCAACCTCCGATGTGGCTTTTCAGGATATTGTGTATCCAGGAAAGTACGCACTGATAGGTGCGGCAGCCCAATTAGGCGGCGTAGTCCGCATGACCATAAGCCTGACCGTTATTTTGATGGAATGTACTGGAAACATCACCTTTGCGTTGCCATTGATTATTACAGTGATATCGGCCAAATGGACTGGCGATTTTTTCAACGAGGTAAATTAGTCACATTTTAGTATCGCTTTTATGCCGCTGTCTCAAGTAACAATGTTTGGGTGGGAAATCAATCACCAATGAACGAAAGAAATACAGAAACTCATATATATATAGAGTCAATGTTATTGTGCTTTAGGGTATCTACGACACTTTGATCCAATTGGCCGGAGTCCCTCTGTTGCCTTGGGAACCGCCACCTGTAGTGAACAACATCTATGCCAGTGAAGTGATGTCACATCCGGTGGTGACGCTGAAATGTGTGGAAAATGTCGGCCATGTGGTCGAGCTGCTCAAACTGACCAGCTATAACGGGTTTCCCGTCGTTGATCCTCCACTATCCGATCAAGTAGGAGTATTTTGAGCGGGATTCAAACCGATTTTCACCCACGGGGTGTTTTAGAGCGAGGTCACCACCTATGGACGGATACGAGGGTTGATACTGAGATCTCAACTAATTGTGATATTAAAACAGAAGCTGTTCAATGAAACCAGTGAGCACTGGAGCGAATTTAGCGCCAGTCTTTTTAGGGACCAATATCCTAGGTACCCGTGCATCGAGGTAAGTTCACATGGGAAAAATTGCCCCTTTTTCGGAGTCTTAAAGTTTTTTTTATAGGATCTACATTTAGAAGACGAAGAGAAAACTTACTCAATAGATTTAAGGCCCTTTATGAACCCATCACCTTACACAGTTCTTCATGTGAGTTTTAGTCATTTGTTCACAAGTTTGGTCATTTAAATGTATGTATGGCTTTAGTCCACGTCACTGCAAAGGATGTTCAGGCTGTTTAGGGGATTGGGATTGAGACATTTGCCCATAGTAAATGATGTGAACGAGGTAAAAAGTTGAAAACCAATAACACCAATTTGCCTGAAACTCTTGGGACATTGTAGGTGATAGGCATGGTAACAAGAAAAGATCTTGCCCGGTATCGAATGTGGAAACATCGCGGAAGAATGGGCGTGGAAGAGTTACTAATCTTCAAGGATATGCAGGGCTGAGCATCAATCAGTATTTCGAAATAACGGATTATTTTATAATCGTTCTCTTTTTATCGTTATGACCTGACGTTAAGTTTCACTGAGAAAGCTATATACTTTATAAACTGTTTACATGAAACCCTATTATAAAAATCTGTTTCATTTTCCCATATAAGACGAAATTTAATCTCCATTAAAATGGAAACATTGAATTTACTCTTCAATTCAGTTCGAAAACGGCACATAATTACATATAATTTATTAACATAGCCAATATCCCTATAATAATGTTACAATGAGATATGTTAAGTCACTCTTGACTTACGGTGCGTTTCCAGTTTACAAATATAGATACTTTTGAGTTAAAAATACAAAAAAACAATACTTTCAGTTCTGAGTTCCGTGCTAAATTAACAGGATCTGATTTGTGTAAATGCGGTATACAAAATATAATACTTGTGGGAATAAACGCCTCATATAAAACTACCATATATAATTATACGTCCGGCTGGTCCTCCAACTAGTCTTTGAGCAGATAAGGCCTTTATACCGTATAAGTAAGTACACAAAGCAAACTGCTCTGATCAAATTTATGAAATATTAGTCTTCTGGTAAGATAGCAATTGGCAAAACAAACCAAACGGCATCATGCAATGCACGATGAGACTGTTTTTTTCACTGCATCTCGCGCATAGGGGATGTAGGATAACGAGTACCAGGTCATTGCCAGTGACTGCATGATGATGAACAAAAGTGCCAAACCAGCGTTTTTAAACTGAAAATACATATAGAAAAACTACTATAGAACTGACCGAAAATGTTGCGAATATACTCACAACTAAGGCCGATAACAGGGTCATAACGATACTGCCCAGAACGAGACAAGTGGCTATGGCTCTCGATGAGTGGAACATTTTCTGCAACTGGTTGCAAGGCCCCATTAGGAAACAAGTGCTTAGTAACGATATAATGTTGCCTATCGAACGCTTTGTTAATTATCTATGACAATTGGGGCAGTTTAATACGTACCCAGCGTGTAAAAAACTGCGAATATCTTCAAACCCTTGCCGAAAAACAAGGCAAAAGACCCCAGAAAAGTGAGTAGAATTCCTATAATGAAACAGGCAAGGAATGCCTTGATTCTTGTCGACCAGCTAAGGGTTGAAGCTTCATTTAACTGCAAGTGAAGAGATGGATACGTACTTTGCACATTCCCTTTGGCTTTGAATGTGTATTGTTATGCGTGTGAACATAAATCGCCACTCACCTGGGACATTATGCCACTCTCCTCATCCGGTGTATCATTGCCGCTTAGGACTCGCTTCAGCTTGTCCATCATTCCCTAAGTGCTGCGATTGAAGGGGGCACAACCTGCAATTGGAATGTTGGCTCTCATTGTTCCCCATCATGTGGATTTTGTGTTTTTATCAAGATTTACGGTTCACTGATAAAAGCCCAATGAATTTACCTTTTTGCAAGCTGTGACTTGGCCGATAACACGGGAAAACGAGAAAAAGGTAAGACACAAAATATTGTTCTGAATACGTCAGATTTTTTTGGCAACAGGTGATTTGTTGTAATTAAGCTACAAACATAACCACAGAATATCTCTCTTGATGTTCTGTGAGCATAACCTCACCTTTATCTATTGTCCATGTTGTTGTTTATTTAATTGTCAGTGTATTTTTTAGTGTTTTCACTAGTTATGTGAATCTGTTTGGTGGTGTAATGGTGGAAGTGTTCACACTACGTGGAGTAAGAGCACTGTTGTTTGTGGCTGAACTTCGGAGTGATGTAATGTGAAGAGTCATCATTTAGAGATTAGTAAAATCTGATTGGTTTTCCTAGTGTTCAAAGGGCCCAGAAACCAGTAAGTTTATGTTAATTCCCTCCACTTTTTAGTTCATTGAGATATTCATCATTCATTCATGTAGGTAGTTGATAATGTAGTGTGAAAACTGCTGGCCAGAAATGAACGTATTCGCAAGTGATGTTAGTAAAACATAGGGAAAGTTGGGCAATTTCCAGAAAGACGGGACAGAGGACTTTTGTCTGAGCTGTTAGTTCAGTCTTTTTCCGATAAAACCTCCTTCTGTAGAGATAGCGACTATCTTCTATGTACATGGATAGCGACAGTTTGGGCTTCAAAGCTTAAGTTGTATAATAAACAAAGTAAAGTTCTCGAAGGCAGCACAGAAGTACCCATTACCTGCTATAATTATATATTAACTCAATTATCGTAGTGTTGTTGCTCTACATAATGTTCTTTTTCGGATCAGTGATATTTCACAGCTGTTGTAGTAAACTCGGATATATTTCAGTTCCAGATGGACGTGAAAACGGAATTAGAAGTTGATATCAAAGAGGAATTTGAAGTTGTTAGAAATATAGTAAAAGTAGAAGACAAACCTGGGGAATACGAAAACGATTCGATCGATGCGGGCATTAATAGATCAACATCAACAAACCACGAATGTGGGCAGTGTAGAAGAACATTTTCAAAAAGCTATTACCTGAAACAGCACATGTTATCGCATTCGGTGGAACGTCCGTTTCAGTGCGATATTTGCTACTTAACGTTCAAACGGCGTCATTATTTGGACACTCATCGAAATAGGCACCCCAAGAAAACACGGTACGAACGTGCCCATATGAAAACGTTCCCATTCTAAGATTATCTAAAAAAACTTGTTTTAGGGCTGAACCAAACATCGAACCGGCTATTAATGGTGAAACAACCGAAATAAAACATGATGAAGTCGGCACCTTAAATCCCGCAAACGGCGAAACGTTAAGCACATACAAATGCCACAAATGCAATCAAGACTTTCCATCGTCGAGCCTTCTGTTGGAACATTCCCGATTGCATTCGAACGAAAGTATTTTCCAATGCGATCTTTGCAATGCTAAGCTCAGAAGCGAAGACCGTTTCAACTATCACCGGAAGTTGCATGCCAGACAAAACCCTATAGAGTGCGTAATTTGCGAAAAATCGTTTCTGTGTAAGGCTTTACTCACCAAGCACATGGTGACGCATTCAGAAAAACGACCCTATCAATGCGAGTTTTGCGACTTCAGGTGCAAGTATCGATCGCAGCTCAATTTTCATCGAAATACGCACACGAAGGAGAAGAGCTACCACTGCCAATACTGTGGCAAAGAGTTTCTGACTCCACCGAACTTATACGCTCATTTGAGGAGTCATTCAGAAGAACTGCCTTTTGAGTGCGACATTTGTTATGGAGCGTTCAAATTGAAGAAATACCTCACTCGACACCGGCTGACACATGTGAAGAAGAATTTTAAAGTTTAGCTAATTAGATTGGTAAATCAGTCTGCACGACAGAATAGTCCAGTTTTTCCAAATTCCACGTCAATAAAAGACAGCAATGTTTGTTTAAAATGGAACGAGGCATCAACAACCAGCATTACAGACAAAGTGTGAACCAGTTTGAAAACTGTAGAAGCAGAATAGTTGAAGGCTTGAAACAAGGTTTAAAACATGAAGAGTGTCTAAAGGGTTATTTGCCTTGCGTAAGTTTTTTTTGGAGGTTCACTAATGCCGAAAACATTCCAAAAAGCCTGAAGTTTTTCAGTACACTTGCGCTTAGTTTGCTCTTTACTTTATACGGAAACATCTATTTAAGGAAAATCCCTTTAGTAAGTGAAAGGAGTTTTCAAAATTATCGTATCATCAAAATAACATCAGGCGAAATACTTAATGATTGCACCTAATTTTTTGGTTCTTCAGATCTACGCTCCCTGATTGATACAATCATTCTGTACATTTCGAATATATTGGAAAATGAAATGAGATACCTGGATGTATTAATTCAAATTTATTTACCGATATGTACCCATTATGTTAGATTTATGTTCACGCTTCTATATAATTTCATAACCATAGTATAAAAGCTTGCAACAGTCACGTTTCAATGCTCTTATACCGCAAAACAGATGCAATATAATTAGATTTCTTCAGTAATTTATAGACATTTTTATACATAGGCGTTCACTAATAAGAGTTGGAGATTAACTTATTGATAACGTGACGATAAATATATATCTATATAATTTTCTTGAGCAAAAACTTAACAGATTCTCTTATATACTCTATAGCGTTAATTCACTACAGAAAATGATTAGAATCACCCAGTACGGGAGTAATGTGAAACAATACACAACGGGTACAGAACTGATCCTACAGCAACTCTTTCACTTTCACCACTATTCAACTGCCAACACAAAGAGCCTGTTCAGACCTGATGATGAACCGAAAACCGACAAAACTAGGAACATATTAGGCCTATCAGTGTAGCGATTATATTGCTGTTTACCTACAGCTATAAGAAAGTCAAATCTCTTCTAATTGAGTATAACAAAGCGTAGATTAATAGGAAATGAGGATAGTTTGGCGGCAAACTCCAGCTTCTACAACCGACCAACGTTAGTAATCCAATCCAATTGCGGCGTTAAACGTATGATCTGTTTCTGACCTATCGCTGCATGTAAAAAGAACAATCAACAAGTGAATAAAAAAGCTTAAATGTACGTTAAAAAATTTACATTGAGGCACGCTAGGTTATACATACTTTTATATAGCAAATGTTACTTCACCCTTAACTATTATTAGTAGTATTATTATCAACAAAACGTCTGTTGTTTAATAGCGCCTGTCGGAAACTACGTTTCCAACGAACTTGGAACTTTTAAGGTGCCACCCAATTAAAGTTTCCGTCTTCGGAATTAGGTTTCGTAGCCTGAAAGTGCCAATTTTCACTGAAAATCGAATCCTTCGGCTCTGGTACACATAAACAATAGAATTTCACTTAAACCATTTGATTTTGCTTATTGTATTAGGTTTGCGGTTTATTTGAAGGAACAATTTGATTTTCCGTTCAACTTAATGGTGTACGTAAAAT